TAATTGATGAATTTCAGTTTAAATCTATAAATATCAGGACATTTTTTCAATTAAAATGGCATTAAATTCAAAATTACAAGGCCTAAAAGGAAGTATTAGAAAATTTTAGAGATTTTAGGGTGAAGTATGCATTTAATATGTAAATATCAGTTTTAGCCTATTTTAATATTTAAACTTTTAATTTTTTCAAAAGCATACCTGATATTTAATTTTTGTTTCATTTTAGTACCCCACTGTTAAAAGCTTAATGCGTTTAGTACCTAAACTATTAGTTTTTGTCCTTTTTAGTATCTATATTTTTAATTTTTAGTACTAAAATGAAACAAAAATCAAACTTTAGGTATAATTTTAAAACAATTAAAGGTTTAGGTATTAAAACATTCCATTGTTATAAGATGAAGTCAAAATCTGTCGAGTTTGAATATTTTAACCATCGCTAATTATACCATATCATACATGAAAAATTTAAAAGCACATTTTATTTTTGTGGGATGATGTGCCATTTTGAGGATTAAAATTCTAAATTTAGGGACCAAAATGCAAAATTTAAAAAGGCAATGCATTAAATGCTACTTTACATCTTTAACTCACGTGGGTAATACTCTCACGGCACCGTATAGAATTCCCAAAGACCCAAGCCCTAGATTCATTCACCTCAGAATCGAAAATCCCCAAATTCCTCGTATCCGGTCCGATTTGAGTAAGCCGCTCGGTTAAATTTAAATCACAAAACTCCCAAAAAAACCATATATATATTTTTTAATCTTTATTGTCATTCGAGGCTCTCATAATCCCCTTCTTCTCTCAACCATAACTCTGATCCCTTCCTTCCTCAAGGTAAAAATTTTATTTAAAAAATTCTCTCTTTCCCACAATTTACCCGCCAAAAAGTTTCCTGGTAATTTTAGTTCTACCATTTTTCCCCTTCCCTTTCTCTCTCGTTCTGGTTTCGGTCACTCTCGTGAAGTTACAACACTGGGTTTTGATTGATATTGTTTATAATGGACCATGAGGTGGGTGTCGGCGGAAACGCCGTAGCGTTTGAGCCTTCTCCGGCGGTGGGGGAGAAGCGGGGGGTCGAGAACGGGGATGTTTCTGTGTTGAAGAAGCAGCGGTGCGGTGGGGGATTAAAGAGGTGGCGGAGATTGTGCTGGTGCTGTCCACGATGGGGAAGATGAGAGGCGGAGGGAGGAATCCCACGTCGGCTGAGACGGCGTTGATGGCGGAGGCACGTGAGACGTTGGCGGAGATGTGCGGGGAGATGTCGCCTAAGGATATTGTTGGGAGGGAGGCGATAGGGAATGTGATTGAAGAGCTGGGGATTAATTCCCATCTCAAAGAGCGGAGTTTAGGGTTCAGGGGTATGGGGATGTCGATTTCTCAGAAGGTTTTATTTTCTAAAATGAGGGTAATTTTTTTTTATTATTTTAATGAATTTATTGCATTTATTATGTTTTATAATTGATACATTTGGGGAATCAGGAAAATTAAAGGCCTCGATCTATTATATGGTTTGATGTTCTTCACTGATTTTAATGTTAATTTTGGGGAACTAAAGATTATGTCTGAAGCTGTGAGAAGTTTAATTTGGTTCAAATTGCCCATAGGACATTTATGAATGTTGTAGAATTCTTATGATATTTTGAATGTGATACTGAATTTTAGTGAAAAAGTTCATGTTATTGGAATCTGAGTGTTCGATTACCATAATGATTTTCAGATGGAAGAACCCAAAAAATTCACTACTCCTGCTACGTATACATCTCAGTCGGTGCAAACTAATGTCGGTGGATACTCTGAAAACCGTGGCTCATCGAATGCTGTTCGCATTTTACCATCAGATCGACTCATTCATGGAGCTGTGTCTTCTGGAGGCACCCCAGTTTCGTCTCATGTTACAGCAGCGGGTTCAACTCTGTTGCAACATCAATTGCCCACTGGCGATGTAAAAATGGCAACAATGTCCACTGGGCTACCAAGTGGTCATCTAGGAGATTCGTCTTCGTTTGCATATCCCAGGGTAAACAGACCACAATTAAGTTGGATGGAGGATCAAACGTGGCTTCTTATGTTTCACATGTACCGGTAATTCTCTCTTCAACCTGGTCTCTGACCCTTGGTAGCATAAAAGTTGATGGACCTGTTTACGTATAATTTGAAACTTTTTGGGAGAGATTAGATGATATGTTCTACCTACTTTTTCCATGGGTGGGACACGTTTTCTTGGCTTAGAATTGTGTTCTATGATGATCATGAAATGATTGATTCTATAATCTAGCAAATTCTAATGCTGTGGTTTCTTTATTCGAAATTTTGCCACTATATTACCACTATTCTCCCTCTTATTTGGTTCTGTTGAACATTTAAGCATCTTTATCCGTGCTTCATCTCGAATATTGTGTGTTTCAGCTAATTCTTCAGCAAGCCATTCACTCGCCAATGCTCCCACTTGGTCTATGCAAGCTCAACCTGCAGCATTTGGTAAACCTGGGCAAGAGAACAAGGTTTTGGCTCATCATCCAACCAAGGTTGAAGGAAGTTCTGGTTCACTATGGCACAGATGACTCCTCAAGCTGTGAGAGATCAAACCTTTAGACCATTCAATACTCAAACTGCAGCCGGAACTTTTCCAAGTGTGCACCAGCCCGCGCAAGGTGTGAACTTTACACAAGCTCCTCCATTTACTAATCATCACACTGAAATTGCTCGAATTGTTCAAAAGTTGTTGCAACCGAAGCTTCCTGCACATCTTACCTGGACTCCTCCTTCTAGAGAGTATATGAATAAGGCTGTGACTTGTCAAACGTGCAAACTTACCTTTAATGAAGTGGAAAATGTGCTGCTTTGTGATGCATGTGAGAAAGGATTCCACTTGAAATGTTTGCAGTTGAAGGGTATCCCTAGGGTGAGTGGCACTGTGCTAGATGCTTGTCATTTTGCAATGGGAAGCCTTTGCCCCCCAAATATGGTCGTGTCATGAGAAGCATCAATGTACCCAAAGTGCCGGCTTGTTCAACCGAAGCTCAGTCATCTTCAGAGAAGAAAGTGGAAAATCTGGGTCCTCTGCTCAATCATGAGAAGGTAACTGCAAATGGAAGCTCAGCATTGCAGACTCCTGTCTTGTCAACTACAGTTAACTGCAACTCTATTGGGTCAGCATCTGGTTCCAAGGTTCCAAAAGGGAACTCGACAAAACCTTTGGAGGCTGTACGTGATTCACCTTCTGTTGGCAGAGTAAATGAGAAACCTGAAGAACATTCTCAAATGACTGAATCATCTAATCATGAAGAAAAAAAAGATCACACAACATTGTCACAACCTGCGGATACATCATGTAACACTATCAGCGACAAGGCAGATCATTCACAGCCTTCACATAACAAACAAGATATCCTAACAGAGCAGCAAAACTGTGCTGAAATCCCTTCAAATAATTGCCATGATGAAAGTTCCGGAATTAAATATTTGGAGAAAGGTTTGAAAGGAGACATTGACTGCATTAAACAGATTAATCAAAGTGAACAAGATGCTGCAAATGCACAAGTAAATCCTACTGGAAATTCTGGAACTCATACTGTGATTCCAAGGCATCCGGAGTTTTCTTGTGATGGTTTGTGTGCTGTTGAATGGGATGGTGACGTACTTCAAGTTGTCGATGAGAAGGAGTTTTACCGGTCTTGTTGCATCAATGGCATAACTTATGAAGTTCATGATCATGCTCTTATTCATTTTGGCCAGGATAAACTGATACCATCTAAGCTTCAGGTAAGCATGTTCATAAGAATTATATGATGAGCTTTGCTAGATCCTATGTCCTGTAAAAACAGACTTCATAATTTTCGATCTTCACTTCAGGCAATGTGGGAGGATGCTAAAACCGGGATAAAGTGGGTGGTTGTCAAAAGGTGCTACTTTCCTAATGATTTGCCGGAGGGTGTTGTTTATCCATGTGCTCCTGAAACGAGTGAGGTAATCTTTCATGCACGATTAAGTTGACCGTTTTCTTACTATTGTTCTCTCTGTTGTCTACTTCTTGTCTGTCATGATAGCAAGTAAAATCCGATGGCTCGTCAATCATTCTTTCTGCTATTCTTTGTAGGTTTATGAATCTAATAATGATAGCACTGTAATGGCAACCTCAATTCAATGCCCGTGTGAAGTTCTTCCTGCTGCTAAATTCAAAGAAGAAAGTGAAAGGCGAAATCAGTTAGAAACCGAATCAACAGAAGGATTAAGGGCAATTTTCTTATGCAAGTACGTGTATTCATTCGATAAACTTATCATGTATTAAGCACATGAAGAATCGGATTTCGATTAATGCTTGATCTTCATTCTGCAGATGGCTTTATGATGAATTTCAAGTAAGCTTTCAGCGTATATCAAGCTAACAGTTATGCATCTTTTTTACTTAGCATGATGTCTTGACTAGTTGACATGGCAAACGATGTCACTACTCAGATCAGGTAAATGTAGTATTGATATCTCAATTTCGTTTGTGGTTTTCTAATATTTTCCGGAACCGATCTTTCCCGATACATTATCTTGGAGTCGTAACTGTTTATGCTGAACACAGTATTAAAAGCTTGCAGCTTGGACCTGTTGCATATCTGAGGATCGTGGCTTGCTATTTGCATTGTGTATTATAAGTAGTCTTTGACCTAGAGCTAGTTGTGTATCCATAGTTTGATTAGCATTTTAAGTTCATTTCTTCATGCATTTCCATATTGTTTAAACAATCATAAATCAATCTGTTTCAGCTTTTAAAACATTTTCAACCTTTTCTTTTATATAAATAAGAATAATTAGACGATAATATTAATGCATGTGTATATATCTTATCTTCAATCATTCAATAAATGTATGTTCAATCATTACTTACTACAGAATCCCAGATCTCATGAACTTCGAATGTCAATAAAGAAAAGATCTAAAGCTAGAAGATGAAAGAACTCCAGATCTGATAACACCAAGAAATCATTACTTACTACAGAGATCAGTCGTGAAGGTGAAAGCAATCGCATTCATAAATCATAGAATCAAAGACCCATTTTCTTTAGGTATTGAATTAGACAAATTGTTTATACAAGATGAAAGATCTTTGAGATCATCAGAGGTGAGATATGAGATCATAGACCCTAAATCACCATCATTTTTCCAGCAACGAAGATCTAACATTTGATAAATAGCAAAAAGGGATACTTTAAGATCGACTGGTTGATCGTCACCGTTGATCAGAGACATAAAGTGAGATCGTCGAGTTCATCCAACGGTGGAAAATTGAGATCGAAAGGCAAAGTTTTCCGGCAAGACGACGATGCGATAACATCCGCATCATCGACGACTGACGACGATGAATCACAGTATTCACTATGACAATCGTCGGGCGTAACCGGCGGTGAACACTTCCGAGTCGTAGTCGCCGTCGGTTTCTGCTGTGGTAGGGATGGTCTCGGCCCACTAAACGACTCCACCGTGCTACTCATGCTACTCCTCGCCGGTCTTTGCGGTTTCACTTTCGGATCTTTATAATCGCCGTCGATGAAGGCTTCATTGATGATGAGATGAGAAGGTGGGAGATCGGAAGAATTTAAAGCGAAATTCGTTTTCGCTTTGTTTCCACGGAGGGAAATCGCCGCGGCATCGTATGCTCGAGCGGCTTCTTCGGCAGAATTGAAGGTCCCAAGCCAAACCCTGGTTTTTTTCCATGGATCTCTGATCTCCGCCGCGAATTTTCCCCATGGTCTTTTCCTGACACCTCTGTATCTTTGTTCTTTTACAGATCCGTTGGGTTCCACCGCCGGTTTCATCGCTACGTCGGATCCTCTCCCTTTCCTCATCGGAAAATGATCGAATCTTAAAAAATCCACCCGATCCTCCCAAAGGGGTTATCCAGAAAAAAATATGTTTAACTTCAAAGATTGAAGAAGAAAAAAAAAGCAAAAAATATTATATCAAAACAAAGAGATTGATGAAAATATTAGAGATTAGGATTAAAAAGGGGTAAACTCACCAATCTACATGCCCAAAATCAATATTTAGACAAAGGAATAACAAAAAATGAAAAGAAAATGTAAATTTTAAGGAAAGAATGAAGAAGGGAAGATGGAAGGAGAGAAAGATGATAGGTGGGACGGCACAACCTTCTCTTGTGCACGAATTATATTTCATCTGGACGATTTATTTATTATTTATTTATTTTAATTCTATTTCTTGATATTTAATACACTCTTATGAAAATAATAATAAAAAAAATTAATTATGTTGGTTTCATATATACATGTTAAATAAATAATATTTTATTATTACTTTAAAGCATATTTCAGTAGTAATAACAATTTTAAAATTTATTATGGGTGAAGCACGTAAATGATTTATTGATTATTAAAGTTTTCTCCGTTATATTTTTAGGTATTTATCGTTAAAATAACTCGTTAAGACACATGTCACATCTAAATTTTTTTAAAAATTAAACATGACACGTCATTTAACGATTTTTTTAACGATAACATCTAAAATTATAACGAATAAAACTTTAAACACAAAGGTTTTATCTATTAACTTGCCTTGCAAGCTTTGAAGTATGTGACTATGTGACAGTGTAATCAATGACGGAGTCAAATAGACAATGGGGGAAGGTTTAAATTTTCTAAATTTAAGCATTAGCTAAATTTTTAATGTTATTATTATGTTTTAAATGTATATATTTATATAAACTCTTCTATCATTTCAGCTATTAACAGTAGCTATTGGTTAATATTTTATTTTATAAATGTTTATACATTCATATAGTGTTTTTAATGTTTTTTATAAGGGTAAATTACATTGTTCCTCATTGTATTATACTCTATCTTCTATTTTCCTCGCTTTTAATTTTTTATTTTGTTCATTAAACTTTAAAATTAAATCATTTTGCTCACTCTCCATTTTCTCTCTAACTGCTGATGAGGTGACATTTAATATTATTATTTTATTTAAAAAATTAAAAATAAAATAAAAATAGAAGGTGGTCGTATGCCATCGTCGACCGCCGTAGATGGTGGCTGTTAAGTCCCAAAATGATATGTCGCTTCGTGTCGACGTCGTGAGTTTGAATCCGACCTCTATTTTATCAGAAGTTACTTCGAAGTCCACGAATTTGTGATTGAAAGTGAGTAAACCGAAACGTTTCAATCCAAATTCACGGGTTTTGGGAATTTTTGTTGGTGAAACAACCACCAGATTCGGACTCAAGGGGTCGAGACGAACTAACCCGTTCCATTTTGGGACCGAAAGGTATCCATCTACGGTGGTCGTCGGTGACCGGAATGAAAATGATGTGGTGGTCGACGGAGAGAAAACGGGGAAGAGAAGGAAAAAGGGTATCATGAGTCATTAAACTTTACTATCTTTCATATATTTACTCACCAAAATAAAGACAATTTATTATATTTAGTTTTTAAAAACGGCGTCGTCTTGATTATTGTACCACATTATAATACTGTTAAAAGCTTAACGGTAGAGTAAGCAAAATAATTTAATCTATAAAGTTCAGTGAGCAAAAAGAAAAATTAAAAGTTGGGTGAGAAAAATAGGAGAGAGTATAGTACAATGAGTAACTATGTAATTTACCCTTTTTATAAATGCAAGAGTCATCCACGAATTTTTATGATGTATGGAATTTGAATTCAATTTTCTTCATGTTTGTACGAAGGATTAATGTCAGTTTTAACTCTCGAAGTTTTCAAAAAAAATTATTTTAACTTTTTTTTTTCATTTTTACTTTTAAATTTTAAGTTCTTTGCCAAATTAAATCAACTAATATTCACTAATAAAGTGACCTCTGTGATAAAAAAAATTATTGTTATTATTTGAGGATCCGAGTTCAAGCATCATAGATGTAAGGGGTGTTAGCATTTAATGTTAAAAGGTTGAAATTATCTTTAAACAAATATTATTTCATAATTACTCTTTTTAATAAAAAATCAACTAATAGAAAATATAACAAACTTATTTATAAACAAATAAAAGAATCGATGTCATTTTAATAAATTTATTTATTTTTAGATTTAATTTAACAAAAGATATAGAGTGAAAAGATATAAAAAAATAAAGATTAAAATATTATTTTGATATATTTAATGGTTGAAAATGTCATTAGACTTTTTATAGTTTAACTTATTTTTAGTAAAGTATTTTTTTTTACTTTATATAAAAATAAATACTTAAACATATATAAAAATAAATACTTAAACTATATTTAAAATTAATTTAGGTGACTAAAGAAATTTTTGCTAAAAATAAGTGCTTAAAGTTTTCTTTTTTACAATTTTATGTGTCTACCGTTAAAAAAATCGTTAAGTGACACGTGTTATGTCCAGTTTTTAAAAATATTTTTAAAAATATTTTTTTAAAAATTTATATATGACATGTGTTACTGAACGAGTTTTTTTTAACATAATCACCTAAAAATGTAACGGATTAAATTTTAGACACATAAATAGAATATTCTCTTGAAATTGCTAAAGAGCACAAATTAGTACGTTAAAAATAAAAATACAAACAGATGTTAAAAACCTAATCAAACAATTTGAATAAATAATAGATACGAGCAGGAATCTATTAAGGAATTAAGGTGGGCACGTACACACCTTAAAATCTGAAATTTCTTTGGATAATTATATATTTTAATGATTGTGGTCATCCTGAAATTTTAGTTGTGTCCATCCCGTATAAAACTTCGTGTGATTAATATATATGTGTATCTAATCTAAAAAATATTTTTGGATCCACCGCTAAATACAAACAACATCAGGATAGCACCATCATACTAACATAAAAATGCATATAATAGTGAAAAATCATTTACAATCTTACATTACCTTAATTCAACCGCGGCCTATTTTCGGTAATCGCAAATGTCTATCAGTATTAAGTATTAGGGTCCAAAACATGCATATGCAGTGGCAGATTTCTTAAAGATCTAGAGTGGGCACTAAAATTCAAATTTGTCTGAAAATTACATATTTTAATAGGTGTGTCAACTTGAAATTTTAGTTGTACCCACCCTGTATAAAAGTTTTGTGATTAGTTTATATGTGTAAGAATGACAATTTAACCCGAATCTAACGTGTTTCGACCTGACCTGACCTGATTAGTTGTAATTTCTTTTTTTAAAAATATATTATTTTAATTAATTCCTTATTCTATATCTAATTAGGTCATATCTATACTCTAAAAATTCAAGTCGGGTCAGAGTCGAGTGGAGGATACATATTTTTCGGGTCGGATCATGTTCGAGTGGAGGATAATATTTTTGGATCGGATCGGATTGACAAAAAATCGATCCTAACTGGACCTATTGTCATCCTTGTATACACGAATGTCTACTCTAAAATATTTATGAGCATATCATTGTGAATATCAACCGTATAACCAAAATAAACGTAATCTAAATATGAAAATACTTGTCAAATATAATCTAAATAAAAAGAAAAATTAACTGTCGATAATTAATCGAGATTAGTGTTGTCATCAATGATGATAAAATGTAATAAAATTAGAACAAGATTAACACGGAAAGGAGAAAAAGAAACAACTAGAGTTTTACATCATCAAGAAATAATTATATCGAGGAAATGACTTTGAAAATTCAAAATAAAATCAAGTCCTAGAATTTAAATTTAATTGAGGAATTGACAATGGTTTAAATTTATTAAATAAAAATAAAAAAATATTTTTATTTATAAATAACGAAAAAAAAGTTTTGACATTAGAAACATGGTAAATAAATAATAAATAGTAATTAAATTTAAAATATTTCATTTTTTCTGTACAGATGAGAATAGATTTTCATTTCCATTTAATAAACGTTTTCTTAAAATTTTCATTTTATAAATTCAAGATTGTTGCCATTTGTCTTGCTTGATTTTCCGTTGGACCCACAGTTGTAATAAATTCAATTGTTTTTATATAATTTTGAATTTTTATTTCTTATGTGTTTCGAGAAGATTTGAACCCGAATGCAAAATTTAGCAAATACACGTAGGATAATGGAGGCCATGCATGCATGTATGATAACATGTGATTTTTCATTTCTTGTCTTGTGCATACATGTTTTTTTTTAATTTATGACTGAATATGTATATTTATGCGCAGATGAATTGAAGGAGTGTTCGAGACTTTTTTTTCCTTAAAATTTTTAAATTTTATACAGTTTATGTATTTTTTTAATTGATAATCTAATTTTACATCCCTGAATTTTTAATATAATTTTCTAAAAATACATACGATGACGTAAAATCATACAATTATCCCAACCGACATAGTTATACGGTGTGCGTGTATGGATATATCATTATACTAACTTAAAATTCTTTAGTTTTTTAGAGGGTCTAAAGATAAATTTCTCATTTCAAAGGGCCAAGGCCATGAATATTTCAAATTTCAAACGCGTGGAGTATACTTTTACCTTTCCAAACCACGTCATGGCCACCATCTTCAACCAACCTACGTACTATAAATATATCCTCAGCGTAGTCGTGTTTGTAAGGCAGCTTTATTCACTGCTTCCTACGTTTATATTCAACATCGAAGAAGGAACAAAACAACAATGGGCGAGAGCAACGTGACGCTTATAGGTTCATGGCCAAGCCCTTTCATGTTGAGGGCAAGGATCGCCCTTCACCTCAAATCTATAGACTACGAGTACATCGAGGAGAACTTATTGGAACCCAAGAGTGATCTTCTTCTCAAACTTAACTCTCTTCACAAGAGAGTCCCTGTCCTCGTCCATGAAGGCAAACCCATCATCGAGTCCCAAGCCATCGTCCAATACATCGATGAGGTTTGGCCCAATGCCCCTTCCGTTCTCCCTTCCCATCCTCAACAACGTGCCGACGCTCGAATCTGGGTTGCCTACATCGACGAAAAGGTTCATTTGTTTAATCTTGGTCACATCTCGTTAAAAAATGATAAAGTTTATTCGTATAACACATAATGTCAACAAACGTTCAACATTCCAAAATATGAGTTTGTTTGCCCTAAAATAAAATATTGGGATAAAATACTACAAAAAAACAAAAAGAATAGGGCTCAATAATGAATTCATAAATTTAAGAATATGATCTAAAATTTTAAATTTCTCTTTCTTAACAAATGATATGCAAATTTCTTTATTTTTTCTCTCTTTAACACATTAAACTAAATTTAACAACTTTTCTAAAATAATGGGTATGCACTTACTCACCTAGATAGGGACGGAACCAATATTCTAATTCAAGGGGCAAGGTATAACTAACAATATAGAAAATGAGAGCGATAAAATCAAAATAAACCAAAATGGGAAGGTAAAATCAAAATAAATTAAAATTTGGAAGTCTAAATACATATTTAGTTTTATATATTTTTTAATAATAAAAAATTAGGGGCAATGGCCCCCAACCTTGCACATAGTTACATCCTTGCTCGTACGGGCTTAGTGCATCAACTTTGGTTAAAGTGGTTATTTAATTAAATATTAGGAGTATTTTTATCTTAAAATAAAATATTAGAGAAAAAAGTGACTATTTAATTATACGTTATGGATACTTTTGCTATTAGAATAAAACATTAAGTTACTCCAAAAAAAAAAGATTAAATTGATTATTTAATTAAACATTGGAGACAATTTTTTAGTATTACGCCTTGAATCTTGACATAACATGTCGAGTGTGGAGTCTCATTAATTTGTTGTTGTTTTCTGTTACTGTAGTTGGTCCCTGCCCTGATATTAGCGGTGATCGCCGAGACGGAGGATGCCAAAAAGGCGGCAATAGCAAAACTGGAAGAAGCGGTGGTGACGATGGAGGGATGCCTGAGAGAGCTGAGCAAAGGGAAAGCTTTCTTCAGTGGGGATAACATTGGCTACCTGGACATCGCATTCGGTCCATTCTTTCTCTGGATCCAAGTCATCGGCAAGCTTCATGGGGTGAAGCTGCTCTCCAACGACAAGACGCCGGGTTTGCTCCGATGGGCTCATAAGAGCTTCTTCCCCCATCCAGTCGTCAAGGATCTCTTGCCTGACCTCGAAAAGCTTGCCGAGTATTCTGCTAAACAGAGGCCCCTCTTAATAGCTAGGTTTTCTACCAAGTGATCAATTCAGTCATCCAGTCTGAAGGTTCCAAGTTTGGCCACCATAATCTTAGTATTTTGTTTTGTCAACTCTAATAAAAAAATAATGTACCCATGGTGATCATTCAGTTATAATAAAAAATAACGTATACATGCATACGTCGTCATACGTTTATAAACGATAAATATGTTTCCAGGATATGTAATATGATACTGATATGTGCATGCATGCATGCATAGGATATGTAATATATTTTTCTTTTTGAAATTATGCAATGATGATTGATAATGTTTTCTTCTTCATTTTTATAAGAAAAACTTCTAGTTTTGATTTCTCTTTGATTTTTCGGTGAAGATATATTTTTCTTCTTTATCTTATTCTTAACGGTAGGAAGGTGGAGAAGGGAGAAGCAAGTTGCATTTCTTGATTCCACATTGATCGGATAGTGTATATTATAGATTGGAGTACTGGTTTGCAATTTCATGAGTTTTGAATTTTTGGTTGAGTTTTATGAGTTTTAAAGTGATTTAGATAAAATTCTAATTGATAGAATGACATGAGAAAATTAGGTGAGCTCATTGATATCTGGTGCGGTCAAAAAATACGTTAAAGAATGATAATTACAATGTTGACGCGACGCATGAATAAAATTATAAACCTTTATTTTAGATGATTAAAATAAAATAAAAAATGTAAAATGATATGAAGGACATATGATTTCCATACTAATAAAAAGTGGTCATATCATACGTGACACATGAATAAAATTGTAAACATTTATCTTTAATGTCACATTTTCATTTATGATTTGATATTTTAGTGACTAAAATAAGAGTATATCAAAAGTATAATGGGTAAAATAAAATTTTTAAATTTTAATGATTAAAACAAGAGTCTAAATAAGCATGCATAAACCAAGATACATATCAACTTCCATCTACATCCATCTTTATTACAACTACAAGGACGGTTTACAATAGGTGACTCTGAATGAACTCTAAGGTGGTGTTTGGTTCGCTGGAATATTTCTGTTGGAATTAGAATCTGTGAAGGAATTGAAATCTGTCAGGAATTGGAATCCAATTCCATATTCTGTTTGGTTGGCAGGAAATTGAATTGGAATCCAATTCCATATTATGTTTGGTTCGCAGACATGTCAGATGAATTTGATTTCAATAATATAAAATGACAGTATTTCCCTTCTTGTTTTTTTTTTGCTTAATTTTAATTTGTTTTATAAATTACATGTAACAATATATTATAAAAAATTAAAAAAATTAAAATTTAATTTTATTGATTGATTATTCATTTCAATAAATTATAAAAATCATGCTAATAAACATCATAAGTTAAAATCATCCCAATTAGGGATGGCCATGGGTCGGGTTGGGTCAGGTTTTTGGTCCACCTGACCCGAGTACAAGGGAACCTCCATCCGAGACCTGACCCGACCAAAATAAAGTTTCACCCGACTAGACCCTAATATATGAATTAGAAACCTGACCCGACCCGAAATAATAAAAAAAATATTTTTATTAAATAAAAACAGTGACTTAATTGGAAAAAAAAGTATATATAGAGGGGTATTATTGTAATTATTCCTAAATATATAAGGTAAAATTATATATTTTTTTTGGTTGAGTCAGGTATTTTTCACCATAAACCAGAACCTGACCAGACCCGAATATCACAATTAAAAAAACCGATCCGACCCGACCAAAATAAAGTTTCACCCGACGCGACCCTAATATATGAATTAGAAACCCGACCCGAAATAATAAAAAATTATTTTTATTCAATAAAAACAATGACTTAATTGAAAAAAATTATATATAGAGGGGTATTATTGTAATTATTCCTAAATATATAAGGTAAAATTATATATATTTTCGGGTCGGGTATTTTTCACCCTAAACCCGAACTCAACCCGACCCGAATATCACACTTAAAAAAACCGACCCGACCAGACCAAAATAAAGTTTCACCCGACCCGACCCGAAATAATAAAAAAATATTTTTATTCAATATATGAATAAGTTACCAAAAGATTGATGAGGGTAGTATAGTCAAATTTCAATTCCCTCCATTCTTGGATGGAATTCACTTTCCCTTATTTGATGGAAAGTTGAAGCCATGAGGGATTCCAATTCTCTTGGAAAACTTGAACCAAATATGGAAAAGTGATGGAATTGAATTCTAATTCCCCCTAATTCCAAGGGATTCATGCCAACCAAACGCCACCTAATACTTATAAAAATAAAACTATAATTTTTGTATAGGCAGGATCAGAGAGACGGACGAAATATTTCATGTTTAAAAAATGAACTTGAACTTTTAAAATTTCATGGAGTGAACCTGAACGTAATAAATTCCAGATAAAGAAAAAATATATTTTCAATTTAAAATATATAATAATTTTAAATTTTTCATTATAACTGTAAAAAAAAAGTACCCGGTCCATTAGTGGGTAGGACTATAATGATAAATCCAACCTTTTTAAATCTTTTCCGTGGAGTAACCCGGTATATTCAGACAAACAAGTAACCAGATATCAGCCCATTTATTACAAATGGGCCCATATGTACTATCCAGTCTTATCCAAAATCCTCATTCACTCAACCGCACTCGATAACGCCCTCCATTTCTTGCACAATAAGAAAAAGTATCAATCAAATTTAAAAATAACACTATCATACAAAAAAAAGTTAAATTCAACATAAGTAACTTAATTATTAATAGTATTATAGATTCGTCATTAAATTCTAAAAAATTCTAAATCTATCACTCAATTAATCGATTTGTTATAAAAATATTGTTCTATCTAAAAACGACACGCTCTTTAATATGGTTATAGATATGTCACATTATTTATTAATTGTAACAATCAAGTACTCAATTTATCAATTGTTATAAGCAGATCACTCAATTAATCGATTGTTAAAAATACGTTGTCATGTCATTAAAAATAAACCAAATGTTAATTTTTTTAGTTACAAATAGGTTACTCTATTCATAATTGTATTAACCAATTACTTGATTTATCAACTATTAACCAGATTACTCAATTGTAACTAACGACAAAGTGACTTATTTATAACCATTAATTAACTGAGTAATCTATTTATAAATATTTAAAATTGATCTATTTGTAATCTTACTGAAAACTGAGTAAGTATGGTATAATTTATCAAAAAAAAAAGCGATGATTACAAATATATCGATATGTCATTAAAAAAATGAAACAAACATTAGTTTTTTTTAGATACAAACCTGTCGGGATGGGCACGAGACCCGAATCGAACAGATTCTGATCCAATCCAATTTGATAGGATCATATTTAAAAAAAATCAGGTTCAGGTCGGGTAGGTTTGGTTTTTTTCAAGGTTATGTTCGGATATGGTCGAATTCAGGTTTAGAATGAAAAATATTTGATCTAACTCGACCCAATTTTTTTTAATTTTACCTTATATATTTAAGAATAATTACAATAATACCCCCTCTATATATTATTTTATTTCAATCAAATCCCTAATTTTATTGAATAAAAATAATATTTATAATAAATTTATTATTTCAAGTCGATTTGAATTCGGATTTTATCTCAAAAAATCGGATCAAGTGGAAGGTGTATATTTTTTGAGTCGGGTTGAAGATTTATGATTTTCTAGTAAGGTCGGATGGACCGAAAATCTGATCATACCTTACCCATGCCAATCCCTAGTCACTCTATTTATAATTATAACAACCATATACTCAATTTATCAATTATTACAACCAAATTACTCAATTATAACTAATGTCAGAGTGACATATTTATAATAATCGATTAATTGAGTAATTTATTTTAAAAAAGAAAACTAATTGGCCTATTTATACGGTTACAATAATTGAATGACGTATGAATGTAATTTATACCCAAAAAAATCATACTGGACACATACTCGTTCGGCTAAGATTCTCCAAGAGGTCTCCCAACGGCAACGATTCTCCTAGAAGCCACAATAATGAAAAGTAAAAATAAGGGTAAACTATACGGGAGACCATCAAATTATGGTCATTAATTAATCTTGCCATCGAACTATTTTTTATCTCAATTCGACCACCAAACTTTTTAATTGATTCAATCAGACCACTCTCCGTTAAAAAAATAACGGAGAGTCCGACGTGGCTGCTCAATAAGCGTATTGTTTCCAGGTTGAACATGCACCACACCACGTCATGGACATGCACCGCTGCACGTCAATTAACACATAAGAAAAAAATAAATAGCACTCAAAGAGTGAAGGAAGAAGAATAGATAATTTCAAACATGTATCTCCATCTTCTCCACAACCTTTTGTCTTCGTTTGTCCACCCATCTCTTTCGCCTGTTGAGCAGCTCGACGAACAATATCCGTCGCTTGTCCACCCTTCTCCGCCGCATACTGAGTGCTTTGACGAGCGGTTTCCCTTGCTTGTTAACCCTTATCTTTGGTGTACTCGACTGCGGTGTTAAGCGATTGGGCGACCGACTCCTTTGCCTTGTTATACCATTCTTTGGCAGCGTGTAAAGTCTCCATCGAATTCGCTTGAGCTGTTCCTCTTAGCTTAGATATCTCTTCTAGAGATAGCTGTTATAGTTTCTCGCCACCCTATTCTTTATCGATGTTCCTCAGTTCGCCGGCCGTTTCCATGCTATGCATTGTCTCTTTATCGCTCTCGCGTTTGCCCATAGACTCCATTAAAGCACATGCACTCTGCTCACATTTGGCTTTGGACTCCATTGAAGCACCTCTCTCTTGTCTATTTCCACCGATCTTCTCGTGTTTGAAGCCCTGAGACTCCATTGAAGCACCTCTAATTTGTTGTCCAAGCCCACCGCTCACTTCGAATTTCCCTATGGCGTAATTAGGCTCTCTAGCCTTCTCTTCACCGTGTTTTCCTCTTCCGATTTTGACGTCATCTCCCTTTTGGTGGTAGTACACATTGCTATCTAAACTTAGAGCCGTTGTCTCCCTTTCGTGGTTTCTATATTGATGTGTATCCATTGTTGCACCACCTAGAAAGTCCTCCA